TGTGAAGAGCACCTTTTGTCCTAGATTTGATTTCTACATGTGGGACTACATCCATGAACTGCAGGCGTGCATTTTGTCATTTTATTTTATTTTATTTTTTAGTGAGCTCTATGCCCTATTGGGGCTCAAACCCACAACTCCATATGATCAAGAGTCACATGCTCCACTGACTGAGCCCGCCAGGCATCCCAGGGCTTGCATTTTAGTAGGGAAAGAGACAGACAGGCAAGTGGATAATAAATAAATAATCTTCTAAATATTCAAAATTCCTCTTTACTGCCTGTCTCCCTTCATAAAATTATTAGCTCCTGGAGGACAAGTTCTCATCTCTCTTGATTTCTCCTGATTTTCTAGTGCCTCTTGCTGGGTTTAGGACACCATAGACTTTAAAAAAAAAAAGGGTAAAAAAGTGAAGGGTAAGATTTTGAAGAGAAGACGTAGGTAATCCAAGCTCAGAGCATCGTGCCTGGAGCATGGTAAACACTTGATACAGCGTTGGCTGTTTTTCCATCGGATTCCAAAGCTGTGCTCTTAACCACTTTACTGCACTGTGTCTATAATAATTATAACGGTAATCACATTGTTATTATAGAATTACTCCTAACAATGTACAACTTGCTAAATTCTACAGTATGCCATCACCTGTCTAGGTATGTTAAAATTATATCTTATTTAATTATAAGTCCATAATAATCCTAAAAGACATTCTTATCCCTATGTACCAAATTCCCATGATAAAGACCAAACTGGGGTAAGCATCAAAGACAAGTGCAAGCAAAACGCTGCATGGTTTCAGAGGAGGAAGAGACTAGCGTGGCCGGGGAGCTGGAGGAGGGTTAGTAGCAGAGGAGAAGCTTGGAGGGTGGTGGGACCACCGCAGCGGGGTGGCAGGGCACAGTGGGGTGCTGGAGGCAGAGGGGACAGCCTAGGGAGGAGCACAGTAGAGGGTGTGGAACGGTGGGCTGCTCACACGGGGTGGGAGGTGTGGCCCACGAGGGGAGCAACCGACAGCTGGAAATGCAGGATAAGGGAGCCCTTGATGGCCGTTGAAGGGATTGAAGCGTCACTGCCCGGGCGGTGGGGAGCACTGCAGGGCGGTGGAGAGCGTTGCAGTTCTGAAGCAGAGGAATACGGAGAATCAGAATTATGAACCTTGGGAAGATTAGTTTGGTTCTAGACCAGATAGAAAAGAGGTGAAGCCAAAACTGGTTAGAAAGGCAGCGGCACTAGTCAGGCGGTGCGCGGAGGAAGGCCTGGTTTGGGGAGACGTGAGAGGACTAGGATGAAGGGGGCAGATGTAATGGGCAGTGGTTACCTGGCTCAGCGGCAGGCAAGAGGGACAGGGAGGGGACAAACGTGACTTCCACGAACGACGCTCTTCCGAAGGATCTGGAAGACCGAGAAGCCTGCACACATCTGTCACCGCTTCCTAATGCTCCCAGCCACACCAGGGGCGAACGCTTCAGAGAGGCCGGAGAAATCCATAGCCCTTTACTGGTAACATTCCTGACACCACAGGCAGAGTCTTCATAACCAGCCTCACAGTAATAGGTCACGGGATAACTTGTGTGCTGGCCCCAAATTTTGCCTTTGCTGTGGCTATCTTCTCTTGGCCTCCAGCTCCACGCCCGGCCCTGCCCCCCTCCTCTGTGTCCGTGAGGCTGACCGGGCGCACGCCAGGCCACCTCTCTTGCCTCTGGGGTTTGGTTTGTGGGGAGTGAGGCAGGAGACGTGGGGAGCGAGGCAGGAGACTGGAGGCTGAAGTCCTCTGACTCCTTCCCCATGGGGTCCGGTCAGCCTGGCCCCCTGGACCAAAGATGTCAGCTCTTGGGAGACATCCTCCCCACACACCCAGCCCTCTCTGTCTCTAGGTCTCCTGGAACAGCTCTGTGTGCTGGCCTCTTTGGCCCGGGGATGTGAACCCAGGCCCTGGGGTGCACACTATCTGTCTACACTCGCCCACACCTTCGTAAATAACCCCTGTATGGACCTCCCCTTCGAATTACCCTAATCCGGGTGTGCCCTCTGTCTTGTCCCGGCATGCTTCCCATATTTCTTATTTCTTCACAGTCTCCAGGTTTTCATTTACCCTCCAAGGCCTCACCTTCGAGGCCAACTCTTCTCCTCTCTTTCTCACCCCAGAATTCCCACTCTTGTGGGGTCCCTTCTGCACACTAATCTCCCCTTATTGTGGGGCTTTTCTCCTTGGGAATTCTACACAACTCAGGACTAGATGAAGGACGCAGAGTAGGTCTGTCTTTTCTTTCTTTCCTGTATAACAAAATTACTGACTCTGTGAGTTGGTTCTGTGCAGCTAAAACCCTGCTCAATCATTAATTATTCTTAAGAGAGGATCGACCTTGTGGTCAGTGCGTCGTGTTCGCAGTCATCTAGAACATCGCTGCGGAGGTGACACAGACACGGCCTTCCCGCTTCAACGTATCTATCTCTGTGGCTATTCTCTGCCCCTTCTGACCTGCTTTCTGTTCCTCTCCAGCACTGGGCGCCCCTTCTCGCTGGCTTCCAGTTAGGTCTGGCATGAAAGTTACTAGCATGAGATCACACTCTAGGAGACAGAGTTCAGGGTAGTCATCCCCCTACTCCTCTGCCAGGTTTTCAGTGGCCCTTGGCCCATGCTGTGGCTCTTGCCAGGCTCTACAAACAGCTCCCTCACACTGTCCCTTCAGCTCTCGGGCGGTATCAGTTTCTCACATTGCTAGGACCTGAGTGCTTTACTCTCCCTTCTTGTCCCCTTAACCCTGCCCATGCCACTGTGCACAGTTGCTGCATTAAACGCTCATCAGTTTCCAACTGGGGCACGACATCTACTGGGACCTTTACAGACACAGCACATCCCTGTGAGTCTCTGAGTCTGGAAGGCCGGAGTGCAACCCATCATCCCGGATTTGTCCTAATTCACAAGTCATAGTTGTGACCCTAACACTCTAAAATCTCTTCAAGCTCATCAAAAATCACATAAAATTTCTACTGATGTGGTTTCCTGAAATAAAATCTAAATTCCAGGAGTAAGATGAATTCAGAATCCCAAATTCCCAGACAGACACTCCTCTGAATGCAGGATCCTCGAGGCGCTCTCCTTGGAGACAGAGCAAACAAAGGCCTTTCTCCAGGGCTTGACCCTGCCCCTTCTCTGGTTTCTTCCTCTAGTGAGCTGAGCTGAGCTCCTCCACGAGGGGCTATTGTTGTCCTCCAGCCTATGAGTGCAGCCAAAAGCTAGGTGGTCCCCTCGGTCTGTGTCCCCCCAGGCTCACATTCACTGCTGGGGAAAGACTAGGTGACTCTTGAAAAATTAAGATGCTTTGCATTTTGTTCAACATCCATTCAGTGGGATACAAGTTGGGAGTGACTAAGTTTGTTTTTAAAACATTTCTTTTCTACCTCTATGTGACCGAGATCAACTTATTTATTTTTCACTCATGTTAAAAAAGAGCAAGACACATGGAGGCCTGAGTTAAATGGCTCCTGTGGATGGCTAGGGCTCAGCTCGCCTGTCAACTCACTTGGTCTATTCATCCCTGACCTTGGCTCTCTAAGTATTTACCTTAAGTAATAAGACAACTTAAGAAGATCAGAAAAGAAAAAGAGAGCTGTTGTACCTGGGACATTCTCATTCCTCCATCCAGAAGATTAGCCTCCCAGTTGATTGTGCCTCCAACCAGAAATTTCCCCGTGGGAGTGAAAAGAGAGAGGAAGGCTTGAGCTCACCCAGAAATGGGCAGCAACTGGCCTTCTTCCTGGCGGTATATGAAGACAATGTCATGTCATATGAAGAGAATGTTCTATCAAGCACTGGAAACCAGAGACTAAGGCTCACTGACATCTAGACAACTTGGAGCCCTTCAAGGCATAAGCCTATTTTCAAATCGTGCCAGGTGCTGCATGTTGAAAGGAACTGTAGAAACCAGTCCACCAATGCTCGTCATAAGATGCTCAACACATGTCTGTTGGCTTCGGCAACCCAACCTGTGTTCTGTAAGGCAGACATACCTTGGGAATAAAGGGTAAAGCATTCTCACCAACTTAGCCCATCCAGAGTGCTGGAAGGATCCAGCGGGCTGCCCACTGCATGGTCCAACCATCCTCCAAGGAATGAAAAGCAAGGGTGACCTCAAGATTTCATGGAACCACACTGCCATCTCCTTGTGTTGGCCTTCGTTTCTTCTCCCCCCACCCCTGCCCCCACAGTTTGCTTTTTTTTCTCTGCTGTTCCAGAGGGACCCCGTCTCTGCCTATGTCTCACCACTCTCACCACAATACAACCTGATCTCCCTCTAATTCCCTGTTACTCTCTCAGGTCTTCCTCGTGTCTTCCCACTACACTGGGTCACAGACGAAATACTTGATCACTGTTTTAATGTGATGATAGTAGTTTTGTCTGAAGGTACAGCATTTACGGAACAAGGCGCTCATGATCACCCATCTGTGTCTTTTAAGGTGGGTTCAAAGAGCTAAAAGCGACCAGAATGAAGGAGAAATGTCAGACAACATACCATTTTAATGGAGATCCCCAACATTTAAAAGAAACCATCAGAACTCAGCTTTTCCAGGAGAGGTGAGACTTGCCACAGAATAAATTTCCTGGGTCTCACAAAACCTCCACCAACAGAACCATGTCCTGCATTCAGTCTTCCTGGATGTAAGCCGGAATCTCTGACGAGCTATGGTGTCATTGGGGAGCTCACCTCTCCAGTCAGCGCTGAACAGTATGGGACACACAAGCGAAAGGTCAAACCTTAAGAGGACATCGGGCAACAGAATGTGGTGTCAGTTGGCCCATCATTCAGACCTCACATGATGGCTCTCCTCCTCTCCACCTCCGGAGCTGCCTTGTACCTCTCATTTAGGCTCTGCCCCTCTGTATGAACCTCTCCACATCCTTGTCCCTTAATGGGCGGAGGCCAGGTGTGCCCTGAGCCCTGTGCTAAGCTGTGCGGCTTCTTCCCACGTTCTCGGTCTCTCCCAGGCCCGCCTTGCGCAGGTTACTCCTCCCTCCTTCTCTGCAGCTTCGTCCTGGTCTCTTCCTGCCGGCGTCTCCAGGCAGCAATAATGGCTTCGTCGTCCATTTCTTCCTCCTCCTCCCTGTCAGTGCTTCTCCGATACTGGGACCGCCGCCCTGCAGCAAACCTCCCTTCTTCTCTGTTTTCCATCCTCTCTCTTTCTCCCTCCTCCTCAGACCTCATGAAGCTCTGGGTGAATTTCCTCTTGGCTCCGAATTCAGAAAAGTCTGAGTTGGACGACTCTTCCACATCTTCCCAGTCCCTGGGCCTGGCCCAGCTTGGACGCTGTGCTTCCGGGGACTCTTCCCCTTCGGAGGGCTCGGGGGTCCGGCGGAAGAAGTAGGGCTCTGGGCTCTCCTCTCGGGAGCTTGAGGTCTCACTGAACATGGACCTGGAGAACTTGTGCATCTCTCTGCCCTCCCTGGTAGAGGAGGAAGACATCCGCGAAGTGCTCCTTACGGAGTTGCCATTGACCTCATGGAAGGAGGACGTGTCCTGTTCCTCCGACTGCGATTTGGAGAACTTGTAGCTAGAGGACTTGGACTCCGTCTCCCGGAGCAGCGAAGACCTGGTGTACCTCCCCCTGGAGCTTCCAGACCAATCACTCTGGGGAGGAGATTTGTCCTCTGTCCTGAGGCCGCTGAGCCACTGAGAGACGCTGCCTTCCGTCTCTCTGCCAGCCCGGCTTGCGCTTCCACCGCGATCCGACACAGCCAGGGACGAAGAGGTGTCCGTTTCAGGCTTCTGCGAATTACTGCGGGAGGAATACCGAAAGCTCCCTATGGCACTGTCCGTGTCCTCCTCCCTGTCACCCACGCCATCATCCTCATCGTCCTTGACCCTCTTCTTCTTGAAAAGGGAGCTCCGCTTGTTGTCCGAGGCCAGCTTCTCCATCTTGTACTCGGACATCTTCTCCCTCAGCTCCATCTGCATCTCCTTCTCCTTCCGGCCAAGCTCCTTTAGGTCAACGTTGTCGGCAAAGAGGCGATAGACAGGCTTGCTGGTCCCCCTGACTCGGCTCCCGACACCTTCGGCCCTTGAGCCCAGCGCCGTGTGGGAGGACAGCAGGGCCGGCGTGTCGGAGCTGGGTCCCGGCTGGCTCAGAGGCAGCAGCCCGCTGCCCAGGGAGGAGCCACTGTGGCCACTGAGCAGGGAGGCCTGGTCGTCCCCTGGGCCACCGGCTGCCGGCGCCAGCCTCACGCTGGCCATCGATGGGGAGCGGGACAACAGCAGCATCTCGTTCTGCTTCTGGGCCAGAGTCTCGGTGACCACCTTGGCAATCCAGTTCTGAATGCTGGCGATGGAGATGGTGTCTCCAGGCCCCACAGGCAGGTTAGGCAGCGCTGCGGCAGGGAGAGAGGCCGAGCAGCTCCCTGCATGGCTTCCAGCCTGAGAGGGACGGGAACTGTGGCTCTGGGTGCTGAGAATGGAGGCTGTGTCATCAGCTCCGACGGACGGAGCTGCCGACCAGAAGGCAGACAGGGGGATGCTCCTGCCGGCGGCCGACGAGTCCGCCTCCCAGCCTCCCACGGACTGGCTCTCCTCCAACGTCCGCCTGCTCCTCTCCAGCAGCTCCAGCCGCCGCTGCCTCTTCTTGGCTGAGGCAGAGTCTTCACCCTTGCTGAGCTCCACGACCTCCTCCTTGTTCTCACTGCCCACCTTCTTCTGGTGCCTCAGTTTCCAGGCCTGGTAGGCCGTCAGGTTGACATCCGAGCTCCTCCCCTCCCTCTCTGCCTCCTCGGCACCTTGCTCGCTGCTGCTGTCTTCTGCCCCCAGTTCTTTCTTGTGAAATCCGAACTGGATTCTCTTGATCTTCCACCTTTCTAGGGCCGTGAGCTTGTCCTTGTTCCGGCTACAGAAGTTGTAGAAGGAGCTGGTCTCCGAAGACACGCTCTCCTCGTCGTCCTCCCGCGCCCTGCTCCCCACCTCTGAGCCGGCGTCCACCTCCTCCCTCTTGCTCCTGGAGTGATAGCGACAGGAGGCTTCCTTCTCAATCTCCAGCAGCCTCTGGTTCCACACGTCCCAGGTGCTCTCAGTGGACACCGAGTCAGAGCGGCCTCTCCCACCTCGGCTCTGGCGGCTGGTCTCCAGCTGCTGCTTCAGGACCCGGATGTCGTGGCTGCTGACACTCTCTGAAGTGCTGCTCTCACTCAGGGTGTGCCTCCGTCTTCTCCTCATGAATGAGCCGCCATCGCCTGCCTCCTCCTCCTCCTCCTCCCTCCCCCACCTCCGATGCCCTTCTGCCTGGTACCTCTCGTTCCGGCTCTGCCACTCCTGGATCATCCGGTCCACATCCTCGTCTTCTGGCTCCTCCCCACCCTGGCCGGAGGCCGACCGCCTGTCATCTCCCCCCGGGGGGACCCTGCCTGTGGGGAGGCCCTGCCCCTTCTTCCACTCCTCGTACAGCTTCTCCTCCTCATCTTCGTCAATGAGGGTGAGGGGCTTGGACGCCTGGCTGGCCTTCCCCCAGGAGGAGCCGCTTAGGTGGCTGGTGGTGTCATCCTCCTCCTGCACGCTGAGGGCGCGCACTCTGGCCCCGACAATGCTCTCTGCATCCTCGCCTTCCTTGGCCTCCTCTGTGCCCCCTCCCTGGCTGTAGTCTTCCTCCCTCTCCTCCATCAGCTTCTCGTTGAGCTCCCGGAGCTGCTTCAGGAAGCCGTCGTTGGGGTAGATGGCGCGTTTCCGGCGCACGGTCATGAGGGCCTCCAGGACGGCCATGTTATGGAAGATCATCAGGTAGGCCACCACCAGCACGGCGGACCGGCTGATGCCCATCTCGCTGCTGACCAGGACCTTCCCTGAAAGAAGGCACAAGGGACAACAAGGTAAGTACCATGGCTTCCTTAGCGGTTTTAAAATACTGTTACGAAGTACTGTTCAGCTGTGCTGGGCCCAATATGGCTCCTTGCCTGTGGCATTCATCTGAGCTCCAGCGTCCTGAGGGACAAGCGTCACTGGCCCCCATTGCAGGAGTCAGCAAGGGAGGACAGGCGCCCTGCCCTTGTGCAAGCATCCCCCCGCATTGCCTGAACGTAAGCAGGGAGGAGGGGCAGGGAAAGGGAACCAAAACTGTCCCCACTTTTGAAACACTGGAGTGCATTTCTACTTTCTTCCCATCAACGTGAGCACCGGTGAGAGGAGAAATGAAAGAACGGGGGAGAAGGGGAGAGAGAGAGGAAAAGAAAGGAGGCCAAGATGAATGAGTCACAGGACTGTCTGTCGGGGAAAGCACACAGACATAGTGGAAACTTGAGAATCCCCTTTACAACATCCTAGATGTAGACCATCCACCATCCAGCGGAGCCTGGATGCTTTCTGAGATGGGGAGCTCAGTATCACACACACGCATGCACGCACATACCTTTCACTCCCTATTTAGATCAATCTACTCTTTTGAAACTTATTTTACATGTTAGGGTGAAGTATAACTTTCTGTAATGAGCAACCCATGCTCCTCTTCTGACATTCGGACATTCTGGTGTCAATAACAAACACCTGTACGAACCTTTTATACATAAATATGTTAGAGGATCACTAACATATTCTTTTTTTAAAAGATTTTATTTATTTATTTGACAGACAGAGATCACAAGTAGGCAGAGAGGCAGGCAGAGAGAGAGGGGGAAGCAGGCTCCCCGCTGAGCAGAGAGCCCGATGCGGGGCTCGATCCCAGAACCCTGAGATCATGACCTGAGCTGAAGGCAGAGGCTCTAACCCACTGAGCCACCTAGGCGCCCCTAGTGTATTCTTTATTAATTTTTTTCCCTTTTCCTGGCTACTCTGGGTCTTTCAATGATCATTCAGACATCTTTTCGTTTCTCATTACCATACTGGCCAAACTTGCAAGTCAAACTTTCATTAGTTCCCCCCCCACCTTAGGAGTCTGTATCAGGATGGAGCAAATATACTTCAGGTTTGGACTGACCCACACAGGGTCGGGGAGGCCTCTCACCACGCTCATTCTAGGCACAGAGCCTTCACTGATGCCATTTAAGCTTGCACTGTGGATGGGTGTATCCTAAAATGGTCTCAGATTATCTTTTATATCAACTGAAACCTGTAAAGGTTTTTCAAAAAACTGATATTCTGTCATGTGTCACTTTTTTTTTGGTAGCATTTTTAAAACATAAGGATAACTTTACAAATTCCTATTAACGTTTCTGGTAAATATAACCTGTTCTTAGAGCCTAGTAGAAACTTTACCAAGTCTTGACTGTAGCATTCAATCAATCGGTTATCCCCTAGCCTCACTTATGCTTCGAATCCTTCATAAACTTGACAAACATGCTTTCTCTACCTTCATTCTGATGGCTGTTTACAATGCAGCTTGGAACCACAGAGACTCTTCCAGGCTGCCATCAACCTATTTGCCCCGAACACCTTTGGGGATGTTTGTTAAATCTTTGGAGGGTCCTAACTAACAATACAGGATGCGCAGGGGGTATCTTTTACTAGTATCTCTTGCATCACTGAAGACCTTGTCTGTCCCCCAGAAGGTCGGAGACCAAGGCAAGACTAGGAGGGACCTGAGGCCCAGCGGTGCGGGATGGCACTGCCACCAAAGGCCAGCAGGCCGCAGAGGGAGGTCAGTGGCAGAATAAAGCTGCTGCAGGTTCACCTGCGGACCCACTGTCTCTCTCCTGCCACCTCCAGCCCCGGGCTCAGCTGTCCCCCACCAAGGATCCCCCTTTAACTGGCTGACCAGGCGACCAATAGTATTGTCGGTGCCACAGCCTGCCTTCCTTCCTTGGAGGTGGAGTTACTGGGCTACCTCGCAACAGGACACTCCAGGCACAACCAGCCGAGCTGCCTCAAGGACACGGCAGCAGAGGCTCCTTGGACTCAGTCCGGCAGAGACGCGGTTGGTGGCGCCATGCTCTTCCATGCTGTGTTCTCTGCACACTGCGATTCCTCTGTGGGGCCTCAGGGGTGGCCTGAGGACAAGGGGGGGCGGTCAGACCCCAGGTGACGGAACTGTCTGTCCTCTGTGAGGCACAAGGCCACACGGACACTGTACAGATAGTGCTCTGCACAACTCTGGGGGGCGCCTTGCACATCCAAGTCAGAGGAGATCTGTACAATTGTTTGGTTATGATAAAAAATTTCCAGCAGTCAAATGGCTTGAGGAAGGTGGTCTTATCCTGATTCGCAGTCACCATTTTGATTAGCAGCAGGGCTGAATGCGGGAGGGAGGTTCCCTCTAGAGGTGGTCCCTCTGTTCTAAGTTTGAAGGGTATGGCTAGTGGAGAGAGCGCTGGGCTTGAGTAAGAAAGGTCTCTTTCCGAGCTCAGTATGCCTCTACACGGTTGGCTTTTGGGTTGTATTCTCCCAATTCACGATTCTCGTCTTCCCCAGAGCGTTCCCTCTTTCCATTTGTGAGAAAAACAAGAAGTACTTGCCTAGAACCTACCTTCCCCACCTTGCCACTATGTATAGAATTCAGGGTAGACAAAGGACCAGAGTCTTTGCCAAGCAGATTTTCTCTCTAGGAGATTTGGAAATGGGACAGAGGCAGGGAGCTAGCCAGTCTACGTGCAGGCCTGTGGCGGGCACACGGTCTGAGGTGGAAAGAAAAAGAGAAGATGGAAACCAAGGGTCCAGAAATTGTCCCGTCCTCGTTCAGACGATCCTGGAACCACATTCCCATCCTTGAATGTTTTCTTGTAGTGTTATAATTAATGCTTGAGACAGTTTCTACTTATTAGCAACCCAGAGACCCTTGATTATTACACAGTAGCAAAGTCAGGAAACCTTCCATGGGTCTCAGTTTCCCCATTTGTAACATGTAAGTAACCTCCTCCACTGTGCTTTGTTGTTTTACTACACAGACCGCCCAGCCCAGGTGTTACTGTTGCCTTTCTCCTCCGTAAGAACTGACTCCAAAGCATCCTAGAGGAGAGGAAATGACAGAAACTAAGCCGGGGTGGGGCGGGGGGCTGGGTCATTTCTGGGGATGGTGATAACCATCAGACCAGGAGTAGGAAATACCCGGGAGGCAACCCCAGTAAAGAGAAAGTCCTTTGCCTGTGCGGCAGGGGTGCAGGGAGCAGGGAGGGAAAGAAGGCTGAACGCAACCGCCAGCAGGTGTGCGGGGCGGGCTCCCGCGTCCCTCCACCACTGGCGCCAGGATGCCCTGTGCACCGCTTCCCACCACGGGGCCACCCACCAGGGCCTCACTGGAGTGCGGCTGCTCTCCTCGGAGCCCCGACGAGACCCTTCCCTGCCCTGGGGGGCAGAGCTCGGGTTCGCCCAGCCTGTTGCTGCTGCCTCCCTCCACGCTCCCAGCAGCTTCTCCCACTGCGTGGCCCTCACTGTCCGCACTTCTGGGGATAGTCACCATACTCGGGGCCGCGCCGGGCCTGCCCGCCAGGGCCGCGTCTGCCCGGGCTCCTCCGCGCCTCCCCGCTGGCATTTGCAGACTCTCAAGTCACGTTGGTCAGAAGGAATATATTTTTTAAAATAGGGTTCCCCCCCTATAAAAATGCGTCAAACTGTATATGTTGTTTTACATTCAGTTTTGTTCACTTAATCCATTATGAACATCCTCTCATGGTAGCAAATATAAGGTCCATTTTCATCTTTTAACGACAGCCAAGTTTTCTAATCTATGCCCATATCAAAATTGACTTAACCGATCCACATTTGTGTTTCTGATCATTCACAGTTTAATAATCACACAGTGACACCCTTGTAAGCACATCTTTGCATGTATTTCTCATGTCCTTAGGGTGAGTCACTAGCAGAACTGCCCCCCATCCAATGTTATGAACATCTTAGGGTTCTTACTGAGGGCTGTTGCTTTTTTTAGGCATTGAAAGAGAAGAAAACTATTTCATATATATACATACATATGTAACATACATACTAAATTTATAAATTTCATTTTAATAAAAATATTTCTATAAAAGTAGTCTATGTATAGATATACATACATATATTGATAAATATACACATATGCATACATGTATAGATGTGCCAGCGGCTGTGCTAAGTAAGCTTTTAGGTGCCTTTTAAAATGTTAGTCCTGGGGCACCTGGGTGGCTCAGTGGGTTAAAGCCTCTGCCTTCGGCTCAGGTCATGATCCCAGAGTCCTGGGATCGAGCCCTGCATCGGACTCTCTGCTCGGCAGGGAGCCTGCTTCCTCCTCTCTCTCTCTGCCTGCCTCTCTGCCTACTTGTAATCTTTGTCTGTCAAATAAAATAAATAAAATCTTAAAAAAATAAATAAATAAAATAAAATGTTAGTCCTCGGCACCTGGGTGGCTCAGTGGGTTAAGCCCCTGCCTTCGGCTCAGGTCATGATCTGAGCCTGATAGGTCCTGGGATGGAGCCCCACATCCGGCTCTCTGCTCAGGGGGGAGCCTGCTTCCTCCTCTCTCTCTGCCTGCCTCTCTGCCTACTTGTGATCTCTGTCAAATAAATAAATAAAATCTTAAAAAAAAAAAAAAAGTTAGTCCTTGGGGCACCTGGGTGGCTAAGTGGGTTAAGCCTCTGCCTTCGGCTGGCTGGGGTTGTGATCTCGGGGTCCCGGGATCGAGCCCCACATCAGTCTCTCTGCTCAGCAGGGAGCCTGCATACCCCTCCCTCTCTGCCTGCCTCTCAGCCTACTTGCGTTCTCTCTCTCTGTCAAAATCTTAATAAAAAAAATAAAATGTCAGTCCTCACAGCGATGTTAGAAAAATTATATCTTTTATCTTTGTTGTATATACAAGGAAACTGGGGTTCTCCTGGAGAGAGAAACAGCCTGGGGTTCCATGGAATGGAGATCATGTAGCAAAGCCTGGACTCAAGCCTGGGGTTTCTGACTGTGGGTCCTGAACTCCCAGCCCTCCCCCGCCCCCCCGCCCCGGCCCAGAGCATGGGCTGCAGCCTGACTCCACTGAGGTGTCCTGTCAACTCTAGGGCTGAGTCTTGGGTCATCTTGGGCCAGCCTGGATGACAGCCACAGCCTTAGCACCGCTCTCCTTGCTCCCACTCCTACCCTCCTACTGCTGCGGTCTCCCAAGACCAGAGAGAGTTTTCTAAACTGTAGATCAGACCAAGGCTCTGCTCAGCTACTTTACTTTGCCCTTCCACTTTCTGCACGACGGGGCCCCTGCCTCTCTAACCCTCAGCCACCATGCTGACCCACACGGGCCCGTGATCCTGCACACACGGAGTTTATTCTACGGTAGGAGCTCTGCGCCAGCCGGCATGTCTCCTTGCCAGGGACGCCTTTTCTCCGATTTTTCTATGGCGAGTTCCTCCTTGTCACTCGCTTAAATGTCCTCTTCTTGGAGAGGACCTCTCAACTGGGCTAGCTGGTCACTCCAACACATCATCCTAGTCGGTCTCTGCATCACTCTTGTCACTCTCTGACAGTTTTCTTTGCAATTTTCTCTGCCCTCACTGTAGTGTGAGATTCGAAGTTCAGGAGCTTTTTCTGACCCTCTCACCGCAGCACGGAGAACAGCGCCTGACATGTGTTCGGCCCTCGGTAATCACTGAAAACATAAATGATCGTCCTTTCCTTTCCCCTCTTCTTAGAACGAGACCACAGCCTTCTTAAGACAGAAAATCTCTTCTCCCCCCGTGGAATTCTAGCAGCCTGGGGCAGGCAGGACCCCACCCCCACCCCACCCCCACCGCCACCTCACCTCTATAGGTCAACAAGGCTTCATCAAGGAACTCAGCAGCCTTCCGGAAATGCTGGGAGATGTCCACCTCGGGGAAGTCATCCACCTCCACACCCAAGTACTGAATCTCCAGGCCAGTGTAGAATTCGGGCCCAGTGTAGACGCCGGTGCCATGAGCAGCATTCAGAATGTGAGTAATTCCCAGCCTCTTCAGCCTTCCCTTGTTCACAGCTACACTCCTGGGGAGAGAAAGGCAGAGATAATTTCTGCCAGAGTCCGAGCTAGAAAGGCCCATTACCCCTGACACTGGGAGCCTGCTTTGGCTGGGGGAGGGAGGCCAGAGCTTGTGAGTACCTTCTTCTCTGCTGTCCGGGGTCTGGAGCTCACTGCAAATGTGGTTCTAAAAAGGGGCCAGGGAAGGCTGGGACAGGGAGCTGGGCAGGAGAGGGTAGAATGAAGAGGAGAACAAGACTGATATGCCAGGAAATCTTTGGTCTAGAGATCTCTGGTTTAAAATTCTTTGCCTTGGGGTGCCTGGGTGGCTCAGTGGGTTAAGCCTCTGCCTTCAGCTCAGGTCATGATCTCAGGGTCCTGGGATCCATCCCACATTGGGCTCTCTGCTCTGCAGGGAGCCTACTTCCTCCTTCTCTCTCTCTCTGCCTGCCTCTCTCCCTACTTGTGATCTCTCTGTGTGAAATAAATAAACACAATGTTAAAAAAAATAAAATAAAATTCTTTGCCTTGGAAATGGACATTCATTAAGACACAAAAGTAGCAGACAAGAGTAATAATCAAAGTGGACATGCTTCACATTGATACGGCCTGCCATACTTTCCAAAGTCCTTTTACATGCATTCTTTGACTTTATCCCTAATAATAAACTCAAGAGATAGGCAGGGTAACTTTTCATTCCCATTCAAAGATTATAAAAATGAACCTGAGAGCTTTTATGACATCCCAAGACTGAAAGAAAAAAAAAAAAAAAGACTGAACCAGGACAGGTGTTTCTGGTTTCTAGTTGAGAGCTCTGTTTGCTGCAGCAAAGTAAGTCGAACTTCTTTTGAAGCAGCTGGAGGTGTCTGGGGTCCCTGGTGAGTGCAATGGGAATGTTTCTGGGTCTACAGAGAGAGCTGGAGATCACTTAGGACTTGGTGCCCAGCTCCAGGAATCAGGTCTGGGCAACTCATTACTCCCAGGGGAGTATGAGCCCCACCATCCAAAGTGATCTTCCCGACTGCCTGCCACCACGGGGGGCCCCAAATTTCCTCCTTTGCTTCTGCATGTATGAGTAACTACGCAGAGAGAATATCTCATTAAGTAGCCAATGGATCAGCAAAAATCAGTCTCACAAACTAGCCTTGTGGTACCAATTATACGCGGGCAAGATCCTCCAGGAATAGGACATGAGTGAATTGTTTCACGTTTTGTTTTGAAAACCACTCACAAACTTTTTAAAAATAACATTTTTTTCTGGTTATACAAATAACAAATGTTTACTCTAGGAAATCTGTACAATTCTAAAGAAACCTAAAGAAGAAAATAAAAATCACTTGTAGAACCGTCTACTAGAGAATATTGTCACTGTTTTATCATATTCGTGTCTGATTGTTGTCTGTGCAAAAGTGCATACACACATCTATATATTGCTCAACTAGCATATTATATATGTGTGTATACATATATATGTATATAGATACATATATATATATATATATATATATATATATATACACATAATTTGTTACCTATTTCTCCTTACTATATTGTGAAAGTTTTCATTGGTTGGTAATAACATATAAAATCCAGTGTCATCCCTGGCTCCAAATGTCCCATCAGACAGCATCACTTTGCTGGATGGAGCTCTTGGGGCTTTGCCTAAAGAGGAGGGAGTTTCACCTCTCTCAGGCATCAAGAGGGTAGGACAGAGGGGCATGGCCCACCATGGTCAGACTCACTTCTCCGCTATGAAGACATTGGGCCAGACTTCATCCACCTCATTCCAGGGGGCCTCCTGGCGGTCTTGGACCAAGGCCCGCTGTAAATCCAGGACACAGGGGGTGTTGTACAGGCTGGTGTCATCCATCTTCTCCCTGACACGGTTGTACAGGTCCTCCACCAGCAGCTGCTCGGCCGACTCCAGCATGCCTGGACACTCGGCCTCAGCTCTGCTCCCCCGTGGCTTGAATTCTAGAGAAGGACAGGCAGCACTCTCATTAGAGTTAAGAATATCGTGGCCCTCCCCGTTCCTCAGGAGAATCTGGTCTTGGCCAATCTGCTGCTAGGACTCCGGGCATGGGGTGAAATACCAGGAAGGACTTAATGAAAGTCCAGGGGATGGGGGGGATGGCTGAGGGGGGCACTGCCTCACTCTGGACACTTATGGTCAGGACCAGCAGCCGTGTAGGTAGAGAGGTGGAGGTGAAGGGACACTGGTTTCCCTTACTCCCTCTTGCATTTTTCCAAAGCCGGCTTATAACTTCTTAGAGCAAGGTCCTTAAGTACCTGTCGTAGGTCTGATTCACATCTACAGCTCCCACAGTGCTCCATATAAACTAGAAGCACTTACCAAATGAATCAATGGCATTCTTTCACAACAGAATTCACTTTATTAGTTTGACTCCTTTACATTTGGAATGCAGATAACTTGGGAAAAGTAAAAACTTTCAGCATTTATGTCAGGTCACTTTCTCATACACATTTAATTTACTTGTTCATTTCATTTATTGTCTGCTCCTCCCCACTGGAGTAAGCACCTGTGAGTCTCAGCCCCCCACTTTCTGGCAGGGGGTAAAGGTTTGAACTCCCCTGATAGTCCCCAAACAGCATTCCTGGCCTTTCTGCCAACAGTTGGGAAAAGATCAGATTCCAAGTGAATTCAAGGGACGCCTGGGTGGCTCAGTCAGTTAAGGGTCTGATTTCAGCTCTGGTCATGATCCCAGGGTCCTGAGATCAAGTCCCGCATCAGGCTCCTTGCTCAGCGGGGAGCCTGCTTCTCCCTCTGCCTGCTGCTCCCCCTGCTTGTGCTCTCTCTCTCACAAATAAATAAATAAAATCTTAAAAAACCGAACCAAACCAAATGAATTCAAAATCTATTCACCCATATCTTCAGTAAACCTTTAACTCCTTCTCCTAATACGTTTGTTCCCAATGATCAAATCTGGGGGGAAAGTGAGATATTTCTTTCTCTGGGAAGGTATATAAGAATAGTGGAGGGCAAAACCTTTGGGCCACTTAATAGCCAAAAATATTGACTAGAGAGAAGGGAAAAAGTAAGAAAGGAGTGTCGCCTGCATTGGCCATAACCTCTTGCGGGCACTGTTTCTCTCCCTGATGGGTGGAGAGCAGAGCCACGTTTGGCAAATAGACTCGGCCCAGCCCTTCGGGACGAACAGGTGTCTGTGAGCCGAGCTGGCTGCTGGAGGTCTGTGGGTCCTGGGAGTTCTGGGTTCTACCCAGGACTGAGCACTCCGTTTCCCTACAGCTCTTCTCTCTCTTTTCCCTTTTCTGAACCACTTGACAGGCCCCCATATCCCTGCATCAGATCTCAGCTCTAAATGTTCTCTGATCTCCGGTTCAAAAGCAGAAAGAAGAAAAAAGCCCTCCGATCCCAGAGCTCTATTTTGTTTAAAAATAGATGAAGCGATCCTATTCTCTCTACCACTGGGTCTTCTCCCAGGGCTCTCCTGGGATCTTACCTAGCAAACGTGAAAGCCCCCCTCCCTCCCTCCCCTAACTGAGACATCTCTCCTTTACTACATGTAAAAGGCAAAACTCCCTGATGTCTCATTAAAATATACAGCACCGTCTTCCTCAGCTATTTATATTGCTGGCTGTATCTTGATTTTTTTCCCTTTCCAGTTTAAAAACAAATGTCCCAGCCCTTCATTCCTACTGGCATTCCTGCTTTCCCAAGGTCTCTGGCCCACCCTTGGCCTGTTTCAACTCCACCTCCCTCCCTGCCTCAATTCCTCCCATTTATTTCTACTGCCTAAGGCTTCTTCAGAAGAAAACAAAGCCTGTACATCTCCCCTCTGAGCTCTTCCAGAGCCATGGCATATGAAGACGTCCATGAAAATGAAGGGTTCTTCAAAACACGTTTTTATCCCTCTGATCACTGGTGAGGAGGGCAATGTTTTGAAATATCACTTGATCCATTTTGCTTTCTCTGGCATATATTTTTTTCTTCCCCCACCACCAATCAGCCACTAAGAAAAAGGAAACTTAGGCTTAATGCCCCAGACAAGGGGAGAGTAGATAAAACCTAGAATTAAAAAAAAAAAAAAAAAGCCATTGCTTTGTTTCAGATTTCAATCTACGTGTGCAATGTCCCGTAGACAAATGTATATCATTCTGTAGACTTGAGAGCGAAGTTTCAAAGAAAGAAGATGATTTTCTCACAACTCCTAGATGTTCACTTAGCAGGAACCCAAGCATGGAGAGGGGTCCAGAGAGTAAAGCACAGAGCAGAGATGTTGCAGGCTGGCAGGTGAGGGAAGTTCCCAAACACACAGGAGGAAAAAAGAACTTCCAGAGTTAGGTGCTGGGATCGATTCAGAGAGATCTACTGGGTGAAGCCACTCGAGCCTGGCTTGGAGCAAGGGAAGAGAGACCCCGGGCAGCGTAGTAAAAGAAAATAGAAAAGAACGTGAGAGTTCCTCAAGAAGATGGGGCCTCCTACCACCTGCTCCTACCACAAGCAGCAGCAAATGGAATTTCTGGCTCCTCAGCAGGTGGACAGGAGATCTAGGTATCCTCAGGGACCCTGCGGGAACCCAAAGGGCCTGGGGACTGAGAAGGGGTGCTGGGATACATGGAGAAGGGGCAGCATGTGTGGTTCTCACCACTAAAAGCCAGGGAAAGGATCATGGCCACCAGCAGTGGTGATGCCCAAAGCCCAGCAGGGCCCGTGTCATTACCAACGCTGCTATATCCAACCCCAGCCCACAGAAGAGGCAGAGACCCCCAGGGCAAAGGGAGGAGAAAAGAAATTTGTTCCAAAATTGATTTAAGAAAAATCCATCCAATCAGGATAACTGTCCTTGAATGAAATACATAGCATGCTTTCTGCTCCAAAATTTACCATGTGCATATTAACCTTTCTCCCCACTCTACCTTTCCCTGCCATAATTCAGATTGAAAACCACCTTCAAACACTAGTGGACATGCAGATCTAAATCTAGATATCCCTTTGAGCAGAACTCTCTGGGTGCTTCTGGTCATTTCTTGGGCTTTCAGGTCTGTGTGTCCAGAATAAGCCACCCCAGGATCCCTGAGATGATCTGAAAAATGGAATGGGAGGCCACAGGAGCAGATTGGAACTGCCTTCCTGGCTTTTAACGCAAGAGAATTATTCACACTCGTACCTAATAATTTCCACCTCGGGTTCATGAAGGTTGATGATGAGTTGTGTCGGCAGAATTGCCTTCTTTGGATTTGCTCCTCTTAATGGGATGGGTAGCACCTGGGAAGCACCCTGACCTCTTCCAAAGGGCCCTTTCCAAGGGTTCCCAGATGCGCTGTGGACTCTCCCTGCTCCCACCCACCTTCTGATGGCATTACCTTCATTGATGATCTGCTTAGCCGCAACAGCTGAGGAGAGGTGAATGGGCTCCATGAAAATGCTTTCTGTTTCTGCATCTGAGACCATCGAGTACCTAAGAGAAGAGGATATCTGTGTGAGATGACTCTGGGTAGCATCTGAATGGGAGGCATTCTTCTTAGACAAGAAACTCAGACCTGGTTTAAGGCATAGTGGACAACAATGAGAGATAAAGGGAAAGCCTTCCTAAGTTTAAGAACCCGGAGAATGCTGAACACTGCGGGTCAGTTGCCACCCGATTTCAAACCAGAGTTAGCATTAATGTGAGTTGATGTTTAAGGACACGGTAGTCTAGGCTGTAAGGGAAAGGCATACAACTGTGGTTGGGAAGAACTTACCCCGATGTGATTTTCCTTCCTCTACTGGGTTCCCACCCTTGGATGTGCTGTTGATAATTTTTTCCCTCTTGCCCCTCTTTCTCTGTCATCAGTACTCCAGGATGTCCCTAACTATGCTGTTACTAAGGTTCTGCTGGACTGGTGGGCTGGTGGGCTGCCACCATTCCCTCCATGCCCCGTATCCTTGCCCCGTTTGAGAGAGAATGAGCTAAGAATGATGGGCTGGCACAGGGAAACGGGAAGCTATGCTCAGATGCACAGTCCTGATTCTGAACACAAGAAATCAAGGTTCAGCCTGAGCCCAGGGATGCAATCAAGTAACTTAGGCAAATGTCAAGCAATTTTCCAGAAATAATTCAACAGACATGTCCAAAGGGACTTCTATGAACTTAATCCTAACAAAATTCCCACTCTGTAGGTATTATTATTCCCGCTTTAAAATGAGGAAACTGTGGCCCAGACAAGCTAATAAAATTCCCCAAGGCAGTAAACAAGAGGCGAAGCTAGGAGGCAAATCCAGGGCAACCCTGCTCAAAGTCCAATCTTCTCTCCACTACAAGATACCATTTAGATTAGACAGGGGAGGTGGAGTCGATTGGTGGATCCCCAAGCCCAACATAGACTTTGACACAGGAAAGTACTTCTAAAATACTTGTTGAAAGCACAGTTGGATACAAAGATGCATGGATGGATGGGGTTGAGCTGTGTTGGGTCCAGCTGAACTGAATGGAGCTAACTTGAGCAAAAATAAGTTTAGCTGAATTGATTAGCAGAACAATTTTCTCATGGTAGAAATCTACATGAGAGTCTCCTCCCTTGGCAGACAGGCATGCTTAGGGCTAATAAGGCTATGGAGAAAGAAATACCTTTGCCAAAAGAAAGGAGTAGCCTATGACTCTACCCAGAATGTTGCCAGACTTGCCAGTGCAGCATAAGGGACAGCACTGTATAGAATTATTGTTGGTATTCCTGAGGGATTTCCAAGAGCAGTTGTGTTGGATTCCCATTCAAGCGTGGAGTACTCCAAGTACTCAAGAAGATGCATTCTTAAGTAAGTATGATGGTGGGGGCGGGGGTGAATTAAGGGCGAAGTCAGTGGGATATTATCCTTGCATGTTAGAACTGCAGAGGTCTCATTATTTGGCAAAGGTAGTAAAGAGTGGAACACCTGGTGGGGGTGGGCATGGGCTCTGCAGAGGCACACATTAGGTCAATTTATTTACCCCCGTATCGCCAGCCCATGGAAGCTGATCAGGCAGACAGAGATCAGACTGAATGGATGGTGGGTGGACAGGTAGATGGATGAACAGACAGATGGATGGGTAAATGACTGGAATATGCCAGGTACTGGGCAAAATGTCCAATATCACCTTGGGGAGCAAACCCAATGGTCTCCAGGGCCCTGTTGTCTCTGTCCTCCTTCTCCTTTCCAGCCTCAGCTTATACTGGCTTCCCTCTGGTTCACTCCTTTCTAGGAAGCTAGAAAGGCTTCCCATCCTCACCAAGCTTCCTTCTGCCCTGGAGCTTTGCAGAAGCCTACTTCCACTGCCTAGATGCTCCCTCACTCCCACTGTGCCTATCTTTGAGATCTCAGTTCAGTCTTCTCTTCTCCCTGACCTCTGCCTCTCATTGCACCATATGCCTTTCCTTTATGGTGCTTCTAGCAGATGCAATTTTACTTTTATTTATGAAATCATTTGATAAATACCCATCTCCTCTACTTAACCATACCCTCTATGAGGCAGGGACCATGCCTGGTACTTTGAAGACTGTTATGTTCCCAGCACCGGGTACAATGTCTGGCACACAGTAAATGCTTAATAGGGATTTTCTGATTCACTGATGGACTGAACTGGTCCCCAGTATGGGTCTGCCTCATAGCTGATATAGCAGCTTCACCAATTAGCAACAGGTATTGAGCAAGTAGCAGATACTTGCTCATTATTTCACTGGATACCAGAGCAAGCCCAGAAGTGAAACCATGCTCTTAACTGTTCATGCTCACTCTCTGCCCTTGTGAGGCCAAGTTGGACAGAATCTCAGAGGCCCGTGTTGACTGTTAGTAATTTTTTCTTAGGGTAGATTAAAGGTGGCCCCGGATCTGGGACACTCCTCACACTTGCCTTGAATCTGGCTGATCTGTGACTGTTTTCACCAATAGAATACAGTAAAAGTGACACTGTGGCAGTCTGAGCCTCAGTCTGGCTCTCGTGCCTCTCTCATCGGAAGCCCTGAGCTTCCTCTAAGAAGTCCTACAACCTCAGGACCACCGAGCTGACAAAGCCACATCAACCGCTCCTGCTGAGCTCCCGGCCAATGGATGGCCACGTGGATGTGTCTCCTCAACGTGGCTCCTCCCACTGTCAAACCACCCCAGCTGACACCACACATACAAGCTGCCCAGTGGACTCCTGTCCAGATTCCTAATCCACAACAAGGGGAGCGAAATAAAATCATTGCCTTAATTTATTAGGTTTGGGGGTAAATTTGTTAAGTAGCAACAGTTTAACAGGCACGGTGCTATTCCGAGGGCTCGGAAGTGAGGCTTGAGCACATGCCAAGGCGCCCTTCTCCCTAATAGTGACACAGAGCCTAATCAATAGCAGTGAGCGAGCCAGATGTGTGGCAGTTGGGGAATAACAACAAAGTAACACTGGAAGGAGAGCAGACCCAGTCACCCTGTGGGCAGCGGGGCCCAGCTTCCAGGGCAGTCTATGTGAAACCAGCAACGTCTCACAGAACGAGAGCTGGAACCTCAACTGTTACATAAATGTGAGTGATATCCTTATAAGTAAACAAATTTGTTAAGGAAGTTTTACTCTTTTATTTATAAACAATATTATTTATACTATTATTTTTTAATTTATACTATTATTAGTATAAATAACCATTTTGTTTATTAAGGGTCGGTATTATGTAAAATGAATTGGGGGGGGGGTGGAATCAAAGCAAAACCCTGACCAGGGAATTGGCAGAAACCCCTGCAGTATGTGGGGCTGAGAGGGGCTCGCTCCTGGCACATGCCCTCATCTCTCCTACAGGACAGTTTTCTGTTTCTCTGCAGGCCTCCACGGCTCTGAGGCTTTCTCACATCTGTAATCAGTATTCCAAACAATGGGCATGACCTGAAGAGGGACAGAGGAGGAGCCCTCACTGGTCAGGCATGCAGAAAGCCTCAGAAGGAACCCACCCAGCCGTCTCACCTAGATTCCCGCCTGGAAGGATCGGCAAGCCCGTGATCAGGCCAATTTTCCTCAACAGCACTGACTTTAGATTTTATGGATTTGGTTTCACATGACAAACACAGGGAACTGAGAATCTGTCCTAAAGTACCTGAACTCTGAGGCTGTGAGTTTGATAGGGGAGGATTTGAAATTAAAACCTGAAAATAGAAATGACAGAGAAACATCCTTCCTTCTTGTGGGGAGTCAAGATGGAACTTCAGCTAAGGAGTCCGTCAGGAGGAGACTCTGGAAGACTCTGTCCAGTACACTTTCCAGAAGCTGGCGGTTTTATGATTGAGAAGAGAGGGTGTGAAGAACAGCTTCTCTCCAGCCCCATGACATGTCTCTTCTTGGCTGCTCAGGCAAACATGTGAACAACAGTAAACTGAGCTCAGCATTACATCCTGTTGAGTCTAGGATGTAAATTATGAGTCACCTGCTAAGGGAAAAGGACATGCAAACCTAATAGTCCTAAATTGTTTTGCCACGGATACAGTTTACTAAGTCAAGTGTGGGGGTGGAACCCCAAAAGGACCCAGTGGAGAACAAAGTTTAGGCATAGAGAAGCAGCTCCTTTGTTTTCCATGGAGAAGCAGGCCTGCAGAAAAGAGGAAGGAAAGCGAGACCCTGAACCACTGGCCCTGTTTATATTTGCAAGGTCAGTGAGACAGTGGCTCTAGAGGTTTTGATTTATGACCACATCTGTGCCTCTACCGCAGACCTGAGACAGAGTGAAATGACACTCACACCCTGATTGGAAAGCAGCGAGGGCTGGCTGCTCAAAAAGATGGGCAGGGTAGGAGAGAATCTAGGATCGATATACCCCTCATCACAGGTTCACAAAGTAGCAGCTAAAAAGCCTTGAGGGTGATTTGAAAGAGAAACAATAAAGCAGAGTTTGATGGACTTCCTAACCAAGAGCAGGAGACTGGTGCCATTTTCTCTAAACCTGTGTTTTTCAAAATTGCAGACTGTGACCCATTAGTGTATCATAAAATCAATTCAATGGGTCCTGCCTGGCATCTGGAAAAGGAAGGAAGGAAGGAAGGGAGGGTGGATGGGTGGGTGGGAGGGAAGAGAAGAGAGGGGAGGGGAGGGAAGGAGAAAGAGAAAGAGAAAAAGAGAGTAGACTAGTACTATCCATTTTAAGATAAATATAATTTTGTGAAACCTATTTTTTTATTAATACCGACCTGAATGTATGCTCTGAGTTGAGCTGTAAATGGCATGCCTTACCCTGGATAACAGTCACCAAAGTTTGAAATCCACTGCTTTAAACCAATTGTCAGGCTGTCAAGGCACAGAACAGGTCCTTCAACCCAGACCCCTGCCGGCTGATCAGTTCATTTCAAGGAGTCCCTTGGAAATGCAATGGACGCAGCGGCCCAGGAGGGGGTGTCTATCTTGATTTGGCTTTTGCAAAAAAGGAACAGATTTCTGAGTTTCTTCTAAGTGTACATTCACTCCAGAGAAAGTGACTGCACAGGCAAAGT